TATATGTTAGTCTGGTATATATATAAGACGCTCACAACGTGACGGGAATAGTGTGTGTGTGTAGGTAATGAGTAATTGATCTGCAGTCACAGGGTATTGTTGAAGTTAACGTTCGTTCGTTATAGTGTTTGTTTTAGCGCGAATGTTGAAATTAAGTGTATCGTAAAGTTATATTCAGAAAGAATAAACCAGTTTTATTAAGTAAGGACTTGTGTCGCTAAAGTTTCGTCGGAACGAAATTACGGAAAATTAATTAACAAACGGAGACGTAACAATATATTCTCTTAAATATACAGTATTGTGGAAAAGTGTTAGGACAAGAGAATATTTTCTCATTTTTTCCATTTTATGGGGCTAATTCTACCATGCCATTACAGAATGTAAATTTCAACACTATGGTAATGCTTCACTGATCCATGTTGACAATTGAATGAGCTAGGGTGAGAATACTTATCATTCTTTAGAATTCCTATATACTTATATCCAGTGCTGTTTTTTGTACAATAAAAAAAGGTGCCGATGCTCATATATATAAGAAATTAAGAGATGAAATCATAATGAATTACCTTTTTTTACAGAAAATTCCAAATTTTCATCATGTTCTCATCTGATGCAATATCCCGATTTCGTTCCTTGCTTTTTCTGAGCTACCATAACTCTCTATTTACTTTTTTGGGGGGTCAAAACGTGGAAGTTTAATAAACAAAAGTGCCGAAGCGGTTTTTGTCATCAACGAAGTTCTGGTTGGGGTGACAATCAAATTCATCTGCGTAAACCCTCGTTCACATTCATTGAAAGAAATGGGAATAGTACTCAGAGCATGTTTCAAATGCTGCAATTTTTCCGGAACCGTCTTTTCAATCAAATACTGACAAAATGCACAAATCATATATCTTTTATTTAGCTGCAGTCTTATTGATAATTTTCTGACCTCCATCTCGCCGAATGTTAAATGAGCATGAACGTTTTTCAGGACAATGTTTTTTATCAAGCACGCGTGTACACAATGCTATATCACCATCTTCACTATCAAGCAATCTATTTTCGATCGATTTTTTCAAGTTTCTGTAAAAAGCTTTCAGGTTAATCGGAGGATACTTTTTGTAATCTTTGTTGTGAAGTGAAACTCCCCGGTGTTTCGGCGTCATTTTTATAACATGGGCCTGGAATCATTCGTCTGTCTGTTGATCCGCCTTGTACAAGTTTACATCGCGCTCTAATAAGTCCAAACTCAATTCTGATAATTCTTGGAGAGCATCACACATCAATCCTAGATCCAATAAAAATTTTGTGCTTGTAATTTTTTGCTGTAAGCCCTCATATGCACATTGATTTATTTTATTTCTTTTTTTTTTTGTTTCTTGTTGAATCATGTTTCGCTTCTTCGAAATGTTGCACTAACGCTTCATAGTTTTTCCAAACAGCTGAAACTGACCGAAAACTAGATGCCACCTATTGAGTGCTTAAATTCGGCCAATTTTTAAAAGTTGAATCACCAGCAAGTTCGCGCACATTTTCAGTTCTCTGCTATTTTTAGGCAACGAGTGATACAAGACATAAAGTTTATCAATAAACGCTTAAAATCTGTTGATCCCTGAGACTGATTTTAGAGTGTCACAGATCGACAGTTCTAATCTGTGATTACCACAAGGACACACAATTACAGAACGAAATTTGCCTTTCATCAATTTCTTAACTCCACTTTTACTCCCCAACATCACGGCTACACCATCACATGCCACACAAAGTAAATAACTTTTCAGGTTGTCTTTATTCATTCCGTAAGATGAAAACAATTGAGTAAAGAGTTCAAAATTCATTTTGCAGTAACATTTTCAAGTTCAATCAAGTCCAAAAATAAATTTACCGACGAGTTCACTCCATTATCCGGGATACAGATTCGAACATACACTATTAAGGTAGATTTTTGCTCAAAGAAGTTGCCCCCCCCCCATTAGTACAGCGGTATGCCTGCGGACTTACAACGCTAGAATCCAGGTTTTGATACCCGTGATGGGTAGAGCACAGATAGCCCATTGTTTAGTTTGTTTGTTATGAATTTCGCGCGAAGCTACACGAGAGCTATCTGCGCTAGCCGTCCCTAATTTAGCAGTGTAAGACTAGAGGGAAGGCAGCTAGTCATCACCAACCACTGCCAACTCTTGGGCTACTCTTTTACCAACTAATAGTGGGATTGACCGTCACATTATAACGCTCCCACGGCTGAAAGGGCGAGCATGTTTAGTGGGACGGGAATTCGAAACCGCGACCCTCAAATTGCGAGTCAAGCGCCCTAACCACCTGGCCATGCCGGGACTTGACAAAAGAAACAGAGGATCTTCAAAAGAAAGAAGACGAAACGATTACGGTAACTCGTGCCACAATTGTAAGTGAATCACAGAGAATACTAGTGCGATAGAAATAGAAAAGATAGTTCGGCTTCTCAATAGAAATTCTAAAGTAACTGAATAGGCCTAAATGGATATTTGACAAGAAGGAGAGAACTACATATATAGGATTTATGATATGTCCATAATATTTATATGTTTGAAGAAGAAATTGTACATACGTTAACTTGTTCTGAACATATATATATTATTTTGAAAACAAGTGAAGTGAGTGCTGTTTATTCATTGTTAAATTTATCGCTAACAAGCCACAGACACCTTCTGTAGAAGAATCCTAATCCCAACAACAATATAGCATATATTTATACTATTAAGAAATATAATTAAAAGCCTTTCTATTTGACAATTTGCAAAATGGAAAGTTATATATATTTGTTTGTTTGTAATTATGCACAAAGCTACACACTGGGCTATCTGTGCTCTGCCCACCACTGGTATCGAAACCCGGTTTCTAGCGTTATAAGTCCGCAGACATATCGCTGTGCCACTGGGGGGGGGGCAGTTATATATATATAAGATATTTTAAATTCTGACACATCTGGGATGCTACACTCAGTTGTAATTTTCCTGCTTTTGCGTACTATGGAATTTTTTACATAAATTAAATATTTGTTCTTATTCTTCTTGAGTTTGTACTGCTGTTTTAAATAATAACAAGAACACAGCTCAAAGACACACAAAAACACCACGAATAAGAATAAAAAAGCAACTTAATTCACCATATCTCTGTATTTGACCAATCAGAAAATTGAATCATACGAATATGAAGGAATCTCTATTCCATGTGACATACAGCGGTC